GTTATAGTGTTTTGGAAAGCTCTCGAGGTATGCTATAAGAATATGTAATGAAAAATGGGGGGTTCCATTTAAAAGATTCAAAGTGATCTTGTCCTGATCTTGACGACTCACTCAAGATCAAACCAATGCTATCATCTTATGTCCCCCTCGAAGTCCCAAAACTTTTGTCTGAAACATTTTTCCCTGAAATGCACTTTTCAAGAGACATTTGAGGTGATCGATTAAAATGGGACACCCTGTATATAATATATATTGCTCACCATTTTTAAAGTCTTAATTGTAATATCCATAATGCTAGAAATCTCAGAGAGAGAAGTGATCAATTGCATTTGAAAAATAATTCAGTTTGTTCACTAATTGATCAATGTGATTATTCATTTCTCTTTTTCTCTCTATCAATAAAAAATGACATCAAATCGATGTCGAATTGATGAGTTTTTTCAATGAATCAGAAATATTATATTGATCATTTCGATCTCGATTTGAGATTTTACGTATAAAAAGATATACAATAATTATAATAATAAAATTGAACAAAATAATAACAGGAGCAGTTATTTATTATTTATTTAACTTGAAAATAAGTCAAAATTCAAACATACATCGAGCCTTTTATCTTTATCAGAGCCATCGAGTTAATTTTTACGACTAAGACATCATTTCAACATCGTACCGATATTAACTTTCCCACTGGGTTTAGCTTTAGAGCCTCTTCGAAGGCAGAGATTTGCTTATGTTTTTATATTTGATAATAGTGGCATTCTTACTCTTTAGAGTTTGTCAACACTCGAGAGAACTTACAGTTTTACGCTAAATTTGAACGGCAAACGCAAAAAATCGCGTATGCGGAGCGCAGATAGGATCGAATCCGAATCCACAAATCGCGAATCAATCGCATTGAGCGGCGAGTCACTCTGCCCTTTTATTAATTTTTGATATACTCCGATATTTTAGTTCTCTTTTAGTCTGGCTAATGTAAGTGACGTCGCAATCATGACAAGAGATTTTGTATATTACGTTATAGTGTGCCATTTTTTTCTAGAAGATATTTACTAGTAATAATGTATTTATTTAGCTTATTGAGAATTGAAAAGCCCGGTTTAAGTGACGTTCTTTGCAATGTGTGAGAAAGATTCTAAAATATTTTTCACAAATGCTACATTAAAATACTGATTATTTTTGTTGAACTGTCTTTGATTTTTCTTTAGCATTATTTATGTAATATTTTATTCGTGTGTTAACAGAAGAGAAACTGAAAGGAAGTAGACAGCAATTTTTGAGGAAAATTTCAATCATTGCCAAAATATTATCATGATGGAATTTAGGATGCAATAATATTACTATTCTATCAATCAATCCATAGATCACGCTCTTATGGCATTGGATGTTGAGATTTGAAATTTAAATAAATCATTTCGGCGCGCGCGTTTCTGGGGACTACATACGTAGTATATAAATTCACGCAAGAATCATATAAGCATTTAAGATCTAGCTAGATTGTTTAAAATTTTGATTTCTATAATTTGTGTTATCACATATACGGTCCTATAATATGTTATATTGTTTATTATTTGTTTAAAGAAAAAAATATGTTTTATTGTCTTAAAGTTTTGACATTTCAAACTACAAAAAAAATAGTTCATGTTTCGGCTATTCAATAAGTTTGATTACTGAAAAATAAGTTTGATTACATTTTTTTAGTACGTAAATACAGTATATAAATTAAACGTTTATTGCATTTAGAATTAATGCATTTTATTATTAATATTGTTACATAAAGTTATGAAATTAATTAGAAAAAATATTTTTTAGTTTGTTTGAATATTTTTTAATTTTATATTTATTACGTTTTTGAAATGCTATTTATAACATCCAACGCAAATTATTTCATTTTCTTCAATGGTTTGTGAAATTAATATAAAAGAAGATTAATTGAAAATAAGAAAAAAAAAATTTTAGGTGCAAGAAGATTACACTCTATACGTATAGGTCTTTCTGTTCTGAGGTGAATTTTCAAAAACATTCTCGTTGGAGATTACGCAAAAATCGAAGCCGGCAATGCACAAAATTTATTTTCTAAATGCCTGAGTTTTTAAGATAAATATCTTCTTTAAGTGCCATACTCTATCTCAACGCGTAAGCGCTTACCTCTCATATATTTTTGCGCGCACACTAATCGTACACAACGTATATGGGGACCTACAGTTTAAACGCCCATTCCGAACAGCAATTTTTGGTAAGGAGGTTTCCTGGGCAAGTATACTACTCGGATTTGCCATTGCCTTCCGAGAGGAGCAAGTATAAAAGTACAAGTATAAAAAAAAAATGAAAATTTTTCGGTTCTGCCAGGGATCGAATCCGGGATCTCTAGTATATCAGTGCACTGTCTGCTACACCGCACTCAGAGATGAATATAGATCATTAATAAGATTGGAAATATATAGATTATTTAGTCAAGCGTTTGTAATATTTCAAGAGAAAAAGAACACTTACGAGCACATCGTGAAGAACCCAATCGTGCGTTAATCTTAATTTTATTTACGATAAATATCGATAAAAGGGGACCCAGCTTCGATGAGCTTGATCTTGACATATGTTGTCAAGATCATAATTCTGAGTGACCTGCAATAGATTTTAGTTGATGATCTTCGTTTAAAAGTTAACAAGAAAAGTTTAAAAAATGACATCTCATTTCTGCTATATGCTATAATATTAACAATTAAATCCCGAGATGGAAGGAGAGATGGACTCCTGGATCTCGCTTCGCGTGGAAAATCGTATGTCCCGAAGTAAGAGAGAAGTGGAGTGGAAGTTGCTGCGCGTGGAAAGTATACCTCGTAGGAGGAAAGGAGGGGGGGGGGTAGAGTGGATCTTGCTTCGCGTGGAAAGTTACAAAATTACAATTTTCTGCTTTAAAAACAAAAGAATTTAGAAAATTATATAGAAAATAAATTTTTGAAAAAAATTTTTGTTTTTAAAATAGGAAAATTATTTTAAAGCAGATAATTTTTGTTTTATATGGCAGAACTTTTTTTACAAGTAAACAGAAGAACTTTTTGTGTTATAAATAACTTTTTAATGAATAACGAGCGACAGCTAAAATATATTGGAAGTCGTCTAGGATCGTAACCTTGATAACATGTCAAGGTCAAAGTCATCAGAACTCTCCTATTCTAAATAATTATAAAAATATAATAATTAAAATTAATGTAGAGATTCTCTTCTCTTGACATACCTGACTGCATTATTCACTTAACATTTTTAAGTTTTTGCGCAATATTAATAACTATTTGTCAGTAATTAATTTCATTTTGCGAAGTTACTCTGTCATCATCGAGGTTACGTGTTATTATCCATTATACAAATGAAAATTACTACTTTTGCATCCACGTCATCAACCACAATCATTAATATTGTATAATTGTGTTGCTGCTATAGGGCTCGCCAATGAAACAATTTTCTACGCAGTGAAAACATACCTATTGCGTATAAGACACTAAGATCCCACGATGATGTGCAACTTATTATTACTTTAACAATAGAAGTTTTTTTGCTTTTCATATACGAAAAACATTAACATTTACCGAACTATACTATAACCGAAAGATGCTATGAAAACTATCTAATGATGGTTTATGTAGACATAGTGGTGGACATGTTGTTATTCAGCTGTATTATCTAATACTCGGATAGCCAAAGAATCTATAATTATAGCAATTAATTTCACACACGCGTGCTACTTTGTATCACGTGAGTCACGTCCTGCGTATCCATTACGATTCATAACCTCGGTCGCACTGATAGAGTTTCGAATTTCGGAGCAGTTCAACCTTCGGAGTTCAATGGAAAGAAGACGACACGTGCTATAAATCTCTCGAGCGCTTTCTTTCGCAACGTTCTCGCGCCCAAATGCGCTGCGTATCGCGTAAACGTGTATCCAGTTATCTCGTGATAAGCGGATGGAGTAATTACTTTCAGCTTTGCAGCGCGCGATTTTGCGTCATTTTGGAAAAAATGGAATGTGTTTCTGAGCATGTTTAAGCTTCGCTAAACCATGAGCGAGCATGGATTGTTGTTCGAACAGTATAGCATTGTAAAACGCGAATCCGTTCCGTTAAAGGAAAATATTTACAGTGAGACTCGAATATCGGAATGCAGTTTTATCGGAATGATTACGCGACTCATCGTTAATCGAATTTACACTTGATTCGAAGCCGAACTTATTGAATTCATGTCGACGTTACCTTTTGCGGATCATTAGTCTCATTGATTCTGAAAACTTCTCAAAACTTCTGTAGATCTCTGAGTCCCAAGGCTCTCATATATTTCACATAAAATATTTGTTCTCACAGATTAAAAAATTGAATTTTCAATGAATGGATTCATTGAAGTTTCTATAACATTTAATAAATTGTTTTATATCAATCAGAAGTTTTTATTTTATTATCCAGGGAGTTGTTTATTTATAGTTATAATGAAAGTGATATTCTATAATACTTCGAAGAGAGCTTTTTCTTTATCAAAGTGCAGATTGATTATGATATTATTTAAGTAACAAATCAAACTAACAAAGACTCCTTATAAATCAAAGGAAATTGGAGTTTTCCATAATCTTTATTTTGATATTTCCAATATTTCCTTATTTTCGTTCATTTTTCTTTTTCTTTCACTCTTTTTGAGTTTAATTCTGGCATTTAAATTCTCGATGTAGGGGGATGCTCACCATGACAGGATAACTTTTATTTACAGTTTATATATGTTAGTCATAGTTTATATAAGTTAGTGTGTTGTCTCAAAAGTGAGTCGAAATATGTAACCGCGTTTAATAGAATAAAGAAGTTTTACGTTTTATAGGTGTATTATTTGCGCGACGTCTTCTGCGCCTAACTCCTAATGCTCTTATTCTTTTCAATTTCTTTTGATTATTTAAGGATTTAATTTCTGAAACTGAAATGTGTGTGTTAAAATTATGTTGCAATACGAAATTAAAATTATTGCAGTTGGACACATGGTTCGGCCGACCAAAGAAATCCGTACGCGGGAGTGGGTCGCGCGGCTATTCGGGCAGCAACACCATGCCCAGGCCACACTCTGGTGACGATATCAATGAGATCGAACAACAGCGTTGTATCATCGAGAGAATGGATGAAGAGACGGTGAATGATAAATTCGAGGAAATGCTGGTGCGTACACGTTGCACATATTATTTATTTTACATGTTCTAATAGCTTATAGATGTATTTTTTCCAAGTATGACAATAAAATATGCAGTTAATATATTTATTTTTTAATATCAAATAAATAATGGCTAATATAAAGCTAAGTATCTTTTAACAATACAATCAAATAACATGATCCATATCAATAGTTAAAACCGTACATTTCGACATTTAATAAAATGTTACGTAACGATGTAATAGAAATTGAGGTTCCTCCGTTTTTTAAATCAATGCATTTAAGCAATTTACCCGAGGATCGGAGATCAGGTTGTGCGATGATTGAAAATGATCACAAGGAAAGAATGGATAATAATTTGTAGGAGAAATTTAGATTCCGGCCTCGCAAGGATTACGAAGGTTATATGGGACCTCATGCGAACCGGCTTTAAATGAAATTGAAATTGATTCAATAAGTTAATACTGTCATTTATTAAATTTTTAAAAGAAAGAAATAGTAAAAAAAAACGTGAGAGAATTTATATGAAGGGAGTACGAATATATATATATATATATATATATTCCTACTTGCATATATATTCCTACAATAGTTCTTACTTGCGAAGGTGACTATCGTGACGGACTCTATTCCGAGATTATTATTATATTTTTCTACTGATTGATTGACTATCTTTTGCAGTTCTTTTATATTCTAGCAATGAATGTGGGGGTGTCTTTTCAGGATTAATCAACACTCTTCAAGATTTGGTAGGGCCTATACTCGCACTTGTTTTCTTAAGATAAGACAGCAAGGCTCCACGTAAGCCCTACTCTCGATACTATGAATCTAGATTTTATATTAAGAATAAAAATTCGATTTTCTTAAACATCCTTATACGAGGCGAAATGATATATTCTAAATTTTAAATTGATTTTAATTTTATGGGGAAAAAGAAAAAAAAGAAAAGAAAGGAAAAAAAATAAAGATATTCATCCTCGCATTCGGGAAAGTCTTAATATATAATACTTAATATTATATTAGATGTACAAATAAGTTTCCGCCGTTTGACAAAAGACGGCGCCACTAGCAAGCTATGGTTAAAATTGTCTGATGTAAAACATTATATCGTAAGGTTGGACATCTGTCAACAACATAACCTTGAAATACTAGCGATTTTGTATCAGCATCATATTTTTTTTTTTTGTGCGAAAATGCCGAGTTTTGAGCCGAATAAGCGTCATTTGCGGGAACTTTTGATTTACTTCTTTAATTTGAAAAAATCTACAGCTGAGACTCATCGATTGCTTGCAGAAGCATATGGTGAGGCTGCCTTAAGTGAGAGAAGTTGTCGTGAATGGTTTCAAAAATTTAAGAACGGTGAATTTGACGTCGAAGACAAAGAACGTAGCGGAAGGTCGAAAGGGTACGAAGACGCGGAATTGGAAGCATTATTGAATGAAGATTCGTGCCAAACGCAAAAAGAACTTGCACTTACATTTTGACTTACATCAATAAAACATTATGTATCGTTCTTTCACAATAAATGCTTAATTTTTTATTAAAAACGACGGAAACTTATTTGTACACCTAATATATAATACTACTTAATTATTAAGCATATATGCTATTATTTAATTATTACTTCAGAAAAAGGGCCTTCAAAAGAAAAGGAAAGATTGTAGAATAGATATTCTTTATCCATGTGACGCATAAGGATATATTATACAAACGTGAGCTATCTGTTTGAATATTTAAATAAAGGAATTAAATGTGCTCTCCTATAAAAGGGAAAAGAATTTTACAATATATAAAAAGTATGATAAGGTTTCGAAATAAAGATAAAATAGGGACAAAATATCAAAACCAAGATGAAATACTAAACTAGAGATAAGATGAAGATAAGATATAAATCATATATTTATAATAAGGAAAGAGAGGATTTTATCGGGATGTAACAAAGATCATCTTCAGTGTTACATAAAATAAATTACAAAATTATCAAAATCACAAAACATATTGTTATTTGCTATAAAATAGAATGCCACAAGATATTCTTCATTATACTTCGCGAATTCAAATATCCAATCCGATCATGTACAATTACAAGCGATCGATTCGTCTTTAAGCACAGATCAACTTAAGAAATATTATTATATATTATTTCAAAACCATTATTTACGTTTAAAAAATTACAAAGTATTGTAAAGTTAAACAAATGTATATAACTGTACATGTTAAGAAAACTACATGTTAAGAAAACTATAAAGTTATTACAAAGATGACAAAACATATTGCTATAAAATTTGTTTCGTTTTCTTTGATAACTTTATAATTTATTTTATGTCACCGAGGATGACTATATTAAAAGTTGAAAACGTATAATTTGAAACGTATAGTTTTATCATTAATGATATGGACCGTATTATTGTATTTAACTGCATTATTAGCAAGAGATACTTGACTCGATTAGCTCTTGTTTATTTGATATTAAATTTATATATTCATTAAAATTATAGAATATTATTTAAGGGAGAATTTGAATTGTTAATATTTTTATGTGTTTCGTATCGATAGAACACACAGTATTCAGTAATTATTAAGTAATGAGATATTGTGTATGGAATGATATCTAATAAATAGTAGATGTTTTATCATCACTATCTTTATGTTTAGGCTAATATGAATCTAACAGAAGAAAAGAAGGAACCATTGCGCCAGCAATCGGAATCGAAGAAGAAGGAGATGCTGGTTTTGCATTACAAGGGTAGCATACAAGAGAATCGATCAAAATTCGACAAACCGGCGGACTACATACAGTATTTGGCGCAGCCTGATTTGAGCGTCAATAAGATCTACAACTGCATTGAGTCTCTCAGGATTGCGCTTACTAACAATCCACTCAGCTGGGTACAGGAATTTGGCACCAAGGGTCTCAAGCAGGTTCTGGCTACTCTCAATGAATGTTATCGAAAGTAAGTGAGTCCCACGTGTTCGAAAGTGTCCCATAGCAATTCGAATGCAGAACTTATTCTAACATTGGTATTATTCTATTCCAGTGCCTTCATATATTACGATAGGTAATTCATGTAAAAGTATTATTCGCTTGAATGTCGTTTTTTTAATGATATTTATCACGTTAATTTCTTAACTGCTTATATTGTATACGAACGAAGTTTTACTAGTAATATTATAAACAGTTTAATTTTGTAAGATTTTCGTATACTGCAGAGAGTTTAGTTTGAGAATTACTTTATTTACGCTGTTCAATTAGCAAAATATTCTTAATTTTCACTTTATTATTACTTCAGTTTTGCATGATGCTTCTAGCAGAATTTATTACAAGACCTGTGCTGCTTATGAATTTATTAAAATTCGAAATTCATGTTATTCTTCATTAATTAATGAAAAATTTGTTTTTCCTTAGTGACAATCGTTATGAGCGAATACAATACGAATGTATTCGCTGTTTAAAGGCTATTATGAATAACACCGTTGGTATAAAGGAGATGTTGGCCCATCACGAGGCTCTTACCATAGTGGCCAGGTCATTGGAGCCGACGAAACCATCTGTAATGTCCGAAGCTGTAAAGTTACTAGGCGCGGTGTGCCTCATATCCATCGATAGTCACAAAAAGGTTTTAGATGCAGTCACTATGAATGGCGAATTCAAAGGTCGTGAAAGATTTCTGCCAATCGTACAGGGTTTGATGAACAAGAAAAACGAAAATTTAAGAGTATGTTTTGTTTATTTCTTTATTTTTTATTAAACTTGTGCGATTTTAATTATTGTATAAATAATTTTTTTATGATAGAAGTTTTTATGATAGAAAATCAAATGGAAAATGTAACGCTATTTTACTCTAGAAATATTAATTTTTTTTTATATGTACAATTAAAATACAATAATTTCGTTGCATTGTTAAATTAATATAATATATTAATATATTATTTGTATAAATTATTATAAATCATAAATTATTAATTTATATATAAAAATAAGCAAACTAATCAAGTTTATTTAATGACGAATTCTTGTATTACTTATTGTAATACATTTTAAAAATCTTTGACGAGTTATTATGTGATTTTTTATAGAAACGATTTTTTTATATAAAAAAGTACA